TAGTTTCACACTGATTGCTTCCCCCTCCGCATCCTATTCACCCTCAAGAGGCACCTATACTAGCGACAACATGGCAAAAGTTTCACTTGACTAGTTATTTAAAGCTCCATCAGCCACCTTAAATATAATTCTGATTTTCAGGGTGCGCATAACTGGTGAGCTGTGAAGTTCAGGAGAGTTCCTGCAGTTAGATTTTAATAACTCTACAAGTTTTAAGAAGGGTAGTATCTTAGGTGACAGCTCAAGACCAGCAGAATACATTTTTTTTTCTGTCAGCACACGTTACTTCAGGAGAACTGAGAAGAGGACAAAACCTGGCAGCCTTAGAAAACTTCAGCTTTCCAAGACTTCAACAGCTACAGCCAGTAACATCCAGACTACTTCAGAGCCAACTGACTTGCCTCAATGTAAGAGTCCTTAATTTAAAAAAAGAAAACCACCATGAAATTGGAGCATAAAGCATTTTCAGATGTCACTGTGAAGAGAATGCTCAGCTCCCTGAAGTTCCTGAAGATCAGCATCCAAAAAAATAAATTTGGACTGACATACTTTCAGACAATGGGTCTAACCATCATTAATACTATCACCAGCAAAGTATTATGTCCATTTTGTAAATGCCTGTAGAAATTGCACCACTACTCCTTCTACAGTTCAAGATTAAACTAGGAAGAGTAAAGCAAGCGCAAGACCAGTTACTGCCACCAAGAGAACATCTTGCCTCGATGCAGCAGAACCTCACTGGCTCTACAGAGCACCTAACAAGCTAAAGCCTATAGAAGACAGCTTTGACCTTGAATCCTGCACCTAAGGGTATGATTTCTGCTCCTAAAAATACCGTCTATACCTGTGTAATAGTAAAGAAGGAAAGATAGCCTATAGACACTGACAAAGTCAGAGGAATGCTAGTAGCAACCCTGATAAAAATTGTTTCCCCCCTTATGGAAAACATTAGCCACTCATTGGGTAGCACAGCCACTAGCTATCACTAAAATACCTTCTTCCACCATTGGGTATTACCTATTCATAAGCAGCAGCCGCTTTGCCATCATTTCATATTTTACCTATAAAGCTACAGGACAGCATCTCTAGAATAACCTGAGGTGTTCAGGTACAGCAGCCAGAAGCACAATTCTCTTACAGTCAAGAAGTAAACACATGGCCTTGTATACATGCAGTACACTTACGATATCCTATCCCATGGCAACTGTGTTCAGAAGCTAAGTTAAAGCTCTAGCAGGATAGATTTCTGCATCAAGCATAATTCTCAGGAATATTTCAGATGCATTGCATCCAACTGAGAGCAAATAACACCACCAGCGGCAGCACTGGGAATCCAACTGGCTACAGTTTGTTAAAACAGCAGGAAGATACGGCAGCAGTGCTGCATTACTGCCTTACACTAGATTCCTTACCAGACAGAACACCAAAGCCCTGGAGGTAGATATTGGTATTGTTTTTAAATTAAAAGGGTAGAGCAAGTTCTTCTAGATTTACATATTTTTAGATTAAGACACAGAAAGGGAAGCAAGTGAAATTAATCTCTAGAATTGTGTAGCAAAAAAAAACAGTGTTCACTGTATGAACAGCCCTGCTCATTTTATACATGTCAGTCTTTTATGGACATCTACCTCAGATTTATTTTGCTTTCACTAAAACTGAGAACTGTATATATTAAAACTCACCTTTCCCTTACAAGTTCGGAGCAGACTATCCTCTAGTATTCCAGACACATGCACATTTTTAAAAGCTACTTTTGCACACAGCCTATCTACTTTTGCAACACTTGCTGGCTCACTTTTAAGAGCAGAGGAGTAAGCCAAAAAGCTCCAGGTAGAAGCCAACAAGAGTTACCACCATTGTGTATGGTAACTAGACCCAAATCAGAAGTAGCTACTTGGCACAGACAGAAACCCCTTTATCTGGCCAGTATCCACAAACTCCAACTCATTTAATATCCTCCACTTGGAAATTACACTCAAGAGCTTCTGGCTTTTTTTAGTTCTTAACTTGTACCTCATTCCACCAAGTATCTGTTTAAACCTAAGTGTAGACTGCATGTAAATCTGCTTCAAAGAAATGGGAAGGGAAATAGTTTGATGTACCAGCTAGAATAGGCTCTTTAATCTTCATGTTACGCAAGGGATGCTATGCTGCAACAAAAGATTATCATCCTATCTGCTTCTGAGTGGTGTGTATCTGGTACACACAGAAGCAAGATCCAGAGATAGTGTACATCTGGACATCTTTCCTAGGCATGTGTCCCTGTTGTATATTAAAGGCTACCACTACCTTTACCAGGTGTTTTCACCCGAGGATGCTTCCTTATCTAGTTGATCCCTGGTTAACTCCCCCCCTATATGTAGCCATACTGCTGCCTCTGCAGCCCAAGGAGCAGCCATGAGCCCACTCAGTTTCACAGTGGCTGTAGAATATAGAATAGTCACCTTTACATTAAGACTGTATTGGATTGTTTTAATTTGCAGGCATGTCAAACCCTGAAGTATTAGAATTACAACTGAAAGATCAGATGATCTCATATTTCAGGTTTTCTGTATAGCCAAAACAAAAGTTCTTAACCCAGTATTCTGGAACTCCACAAGAGTATACAACAAGGACTACTCCATGCATCACAAACAAGCCTAAGTATAGCAGCTGAGCTAGCGGACTTCTCTCATCAGAAGGCAGAGTATGGTTTCTCCATGCAATTTAAGTGATTGATCTCAGTCATGGAACAGGGAAGAGAACAGGGATGGGCAACATTTTCCACATTCCTCCTAGTCCATGACCCAGCTAATGGTTAGAGATGACTGTAGCCAAAAGAAACTCTGAAACAGAATCTACCCACTAAGCATCTGGAACCTCTCCTCCCTATTTGAGGATCAGCACTTCCCTGTGGATATGATTCCAACTATCATTAACTGGACCAGTGGCCAAGGAGAAACAACTTGCTTTTTTGAGTTTTATCTGTTCTACTTCCCCATCTTCCTTATTCCTACACACCTTCCCTTCCTATGATTCTTTCTACCAGAAGCCCATCCATGAAAATGTCCTTACCTTTACTACCCTGTAACCTCAAGCTTTTAACAGCTATCTCAGTGGCACAGAACAGCAGGCTGCTTCTACTCTCAAAAGGGTGAAATTACATTCTTCCACTTTGCCACAGGACTCGGAACAGGGAAAAATTGTTAGGCCAATATTCTTCCAGCAATGGGTCAAATTTAACTTTAGACTGACAAGGGTGCCATGTAGCCTCCTGAGCTAGTCTCACTAGACTGAGTCTATGCATTGCACAGAGAGAATGTTGAATGCAGACAGTTTCTTCTTTCCCCTTAGTCACTCCAAGTCTGAGCATTTGGGACAAGGCAACCCAGTTTACAGAACTGTGGCATATGGTCTGGGTCTACACTCAGGTACCGAGCAGTGCGGTACTCTGTAGCACTTACCTGTATACTACTGTCCTGCCCACATTCATTCGTGTTCTTCATCCAAAAGAACTAATTACTCCTTAGGAACTCCAGCTCCATCCCAGGAGAGGAGTCTGGGTGCCCATGGCAGAGCAAGTTATCTGCCTACACACATCAGTTTCTGCATGGCTTCCTCCACCTGCATGGAAGAGTCTGCCAGCAGCACTGGTGGGGTAGCTTGCCTAGGCTTTGCTGCCAGACTCTACTTAACAAAACCCTGAGCCAAACTTTACTGATGCAGCCTCTGTTCCTATAGTAACTAGTGTTATTTTCCCACCTCTAGGCACAGGTGCTTCCCCTCAAGGTCTAAGGTTGCTCTCATTTCACACCTACCACTCACTTCCCCACTGCATAGCTACATGCCACTCCAAATGAGAACACACCTGTCAGTGGGCCCTCAAAAGCAGCTGGCTCAGCCACAAGCCAGTGGGAGGCAAAAATGCACAAACTCAACACACAGGCATGTCCTCCCAAGCAGGCTACAGGTGGGAGACCACCAGGGAAGAGTTTGACAGCACAGGCAGTTGAGACTTTTGGGGGCTCCTAGGCCACTGCTCTGAGGACAGAAGCACAACCACCCCAGAGACACCAGCATTAGAAACATTTGACAGGACAGCCTTCCACCAAGGCTAAGGCATCAGCCTTAGCATCAGCCAGTTACTCCCAGGCCACCCTTAAGACTACCTTGGAAGAGTCACACAGACAAGAATGAACCCCTTCATAAGGCAAAGCCTCTGTTTGCTCCATCACCCCTCCCCTCACTGTAGGGACTGCACTTCCAGTATGTAGGCCTTTTACTCAGATAGCACAGGCTTCCCCCAGCAATTCCTGCAGGGGAGCATTGCAACCTGTCTCCTCAATTTCATAAGAAATCACATTTGTGAGTGGGCAGGCCCACTATACAAGACAATGTTTTCCTCACCAAACAAGCAGATGATTCCTCTCTAATACTCATGAATATCACTAACACTACGGTGTTACTGCAGCATCCCACAGGAGTCTAAGTCACATCAGGAGGCTACTGTGATAAAGAGAGAAACCATCCAGGACAGGAGCCATGAGCATGATTTCAAGGTAAGGCCTCATCCAGAGGGAGCTGACTGCTCTCAGGCTGAAGAGCTGCTGATAGCCTACATAAGGTCACATACAAAGAGCTCCTTTGTATGGTGGGTGGTTGTTTTCACTGCCCTGAGTGCAAGCTTTACACTCTGGTGTAACTAGTTATGCTTTCCTGCTGTTACTCTCCTATAGTTACAATGCAACCCCCTCCTCCCCCCCCCAAAAAAAAAAAGAGGGGGGGGCGGAGTTACATTCTCAGTCATCACCAGAAGGGTTTTGGTGCTAGAATACTCCCTCCTTGTACCTGCAGGCAGTATAGCCACCACACAGAGAAAGCTTCACAGGGCTCACATGTAAGCTGCTGAACACAAGCCTTGTGACCCAGTCAGAAGAGGGAGACAGTTACATACCACATTTGTCACATCCTGGTAGTTTCTCTGTGTAAGCAAACAGCTCACACTGACCTTCACATCTTACCCAGAAAGCTCCAGCACAGAAGTGCAACAGCAGCCTTCAGTGTTGGGGTAAGGACTTCACAAATGGAAGAGCTTCTCACAAACATGCATAGGAAGCTTAAAGTCCTACCAATACAATACTTTTAACACAAAGTAGGCTTCATAGTTCAAGTCACAAGTTTTAACATCCACTTCTCTGCTAGAACTTTACTTGATGACAACGCAGTTAACTTCCACCACTGCACACCCAGCTCAGCTCAAGGTCTGCCGCGTGAGAAAGTCCCTGGATGTTGGGTCAGCACCAGACCTTGTGGCAGCTGCCAGGGGGGTGGGAGGGGGCTCTGACAGAAAGCCATGCTGTCACACAGGAGGCTGTATGACAGTCAGCACAGCAGCCTTCAAGTGTTAGGTTCAGTTTCACCTGTATTGCTCCATGCTTAGCTTTTAATGTGAGCATAAAGTTTATTGTGTAACACTTAACTACACTGTCAGATGTGCCAGCCCCAGAAGAACTGGGGATTCAGCAGCCAAGTAGGAGACAAATGGGTTTTTGTTTGTTTGGGGTTTTTTGACATAGTAATGTCGCAATTAGTTTGAGATGGCAGGATAAGAACATCTAAGATATTTAAACAGCAGTATTAATATTTCAGAACTACTATACCACTGAAATGAGGTTTACAGTCATCTTACCAATTGCTTCAGGCCATCTGGAAATGAAAGAAGCCAAGACAGCATCTGCTCTGCGCTGATGGCAGTGAAGATTACCTTAGCACATGACTAGTGCTAGAAACTTGAGAACTAGTCCAAGAGGTTATCACTGTAGGTGTTCTACCAGCTACAGAGCTTGCTGCCACCCCCAGTAGAAATACATGAGCAGTTTCTTTTTCTGTATCAAATCTTCTGGTGGCCAGAAATCTTTCATTAGCATCATAGGTCATTAACATGCGTGAAATAGTCTCATTAGCAAACTCAGAAGCTGTGGCAGTTAAAACACCAACTCCACGACTACATGGAGCAAGTCAGATCCCACACTTTTTTCCTGTTTAGAACAGGACCTGCCATTCTAATACTAATGTATTGGAACATAACGTTTTAGTATTTCTCCACACAAGAATTAATCCTGTTCCTCAACAGCAGCATAACATATAAAAAGCAAATCAGATCAGTTTCTTTGGTACACATCAAGGCACTCAGTTGACTAAACTTCTAAATAGGAACAAGGAGGGGGAGAAATACTTAGTATACTCTCTATATAATTAGAACTTCCACTTAGGCAAGAACATCTCTCAAACTGAAACAGAGTGTCTATAACCAAAAGCTATTTGCCATAGAGTAACAAATCTGTCCTGTCAGGGGATGCTTGTCTAAAGACTTGCCTTTGGGTACTTACTCCTTCATTAAAATTACTCTCCAACAGTAAGGAAATCTAAAACATTAAAATGCTTCGGTTATTACTTATCAGCATAGACCTTTGCAATGCAGAGCGATGATTAAGCTCAAACCAAGAAACAAAATACAGCTATTGAAAAGCTATCCTAAGTTTCGCTCTTCTTTTCTAGATCTCCTTCATATAGAGCCCCTTGCTTTATATTTTTATCATACATCTTTTTCCGATTTCTTCCCACTATGAAGAGCAGTGTCCCTAATAGAGCATCTGTAAAGATACCTGCTTTGTGGAGCCTTCCCAGCAGGGCTCCAATAAGAACATACATGCAGCATCTTGGCACAAGCTGCAACACTGCTTGCTCCTCCAGAGGGAATGGCAAAACTGCGGAAGCCTTTTCAGCACTTTTTATCGAGGTTTTATTTGGGGTTTTATCCAGTAGCCAGCTGCAGCACAGAGCTCCCATTGCTCTGTGGCACTCCAGTTTATGCACTGGAATATGTGGGTATCTTTACAGTTTTACTATCTACTCCCCTTTATAACAGCACTGACCTGGAAGGTCCCTCCCTATCTCCAACCAGCATGTCTTTCAAGGACAGATAGGGCATGTTTCCACACATGAAACTAGGAAGAAAGTTACAGTGACTGCCCTGTCCTCCCCTCCCATTCCTTAGTCCTCTGCTGGCACTGGAGGGTACAGATTTCCAATATTCCAGAAATCCAAGCCTGTTCCTAGGACAGCTTGACTGCTACAGTCATGTTCTGCTCCTTTTGCTAGCACTCACCATTTTCCTGTGCTAGTATTGTCATTACTGCCACCAACAGTTCTCTGCCATAAATGGAGCAAGTTCATAATAGTCAGGCATTATACTCAAAAAGCAAGGGGCCTACACAGATCAATCTTTTTGAATTTGAAAGACAAGGGTCACAATTTATTGTCCAGATGAGGGAGAACAGCTTAGTGGCACAATCTATTTAATCTGCTGTGAAAGAGTACTGCTCAAATGTAGCACGGAGTAGGAGATGCAAGAGCCAGCCCAGTCAAGCTCCCCATCTATCGCTCTGGGGTCAAGGAAGGGAAACAGCAAGACCTGGCTTGTCACACAACCACAGATCTCATGCCAGCAGAGAGGGAAGCACACAGGAAGAGAATATGAATAGAAAGCAAAGACTGATTTTTAATTTTTTTTCCAGAAGACAACATCCTTCAGACAGATATTTTCCACATATAGTCAGTTGACTACTTCCACTGTGCTCTTTAGACCTACAAGAGAAGTGACCAAGCAATTGTGTAACACAACAGAGAAGCTTTTCTAGAGTCTGTTAAGTGAGGAAACAAGCAACACAACAGCCTTGGGCTTCCAAGTTATTTCTAGGACACACAAGGTATTGGATTTACTATGGGGCTTCACTTGAAACAGTTGTTATTAACTGTTGGTGGGCCACAACATATGTATGAAAGCCAGATGTTTCCTACAGGTCACTGACAATTCCCAAGTCTAAGGGATTCATGTCACTGCTCATAGTTTTACTATAACAGGAAACAGCAAGATTTGCACAGCTTTTGAGAGCCAGAAGTACCTCAGCAGGCCATTAGATACTAACTGCACTTGTAATTGACCTTGGTATTCAAGTAATCATCTTGAACTAACTCACTTCATCCTAAAGTTTGATCCCTTATTGACACAAGATATGCAGATGTACTTATTTCATTTCAATAGTCTTTAGTTTTTCATCATTTTCTCAAACAGTAGCGAGGCATGTTTCTCTGCCTATGTATTCAGTGACAGTACTGGCTGCCCAGTCTAGCAGCAACACTACAGTAGTAAGAGGGAAATGTGAGGAAGATCATGAACTTGCTTCAAGCATTATTGCTGCTCATTTAAGCTCATTGAGTAGGATTAAAAGCTGCTGTTCACCTTTAAGAGTATTTCAGCTTGCAAATATTGTAGTTCTAGTGCTTACCATACAGAAAAGAATATGTGAAAGGGTAAATATCACACTTAACAATTGAACAACTACATGATCAGACTCCAGAACTGCAACACTGACACCCTCCTCCCCATCCAGGGAACGTTCCTGACAGAAACATGCTCTTGATCACAAGTCAGCATGAGAGAGACTGATGTAATTTAGTAATCATCATTTAAAAATGAATAATAAAGAATTTTCTTGCGTACATTGGAATCTAAAGTATGGCACCTTTATACTAATGACAACTTTACCGGCAATGTCTAATCACTAGAAGAGATAAGGCTCAGGGGCTTATCATATCAATCAACATGTTTGCAAATGAGCAAACCAAACTCCCCACCCTCACATGCACTTAAGCATGACATTTAGAAGGGTGAGAAGACAGGCTTCATCAATTAAGCCGCCTGCAAGTTCACAGCCTTCCACTTAAGAGATCATAAGTTTAAGAAGTTAAAACTTTAAGGCACATCTTTCTACAGAACTGTAGACATTGGTGCTCACAGCTGATATTCTCCCCCAGTCATGAAGGGTGAAATAGCAAAGTCAGAGAAACAGCAAAGTCCGTTCACTTCAAGCAAAAGCTAAATCAGTAGTCCTTTGTATTTGGTTTTCCACTCTCCTGAAGTAGCTCCCATTCCAAAGACGACACAGCACAGGGAGCAATTAAACAGCCTTGTAAAGTGCAGTATATAAAAAGGCATATATGAAAACTGTTTGATAGACAGGCTCATTGTGCAATTGGAATTGTTTGTTTTATTCTTTGTTTTAATTGATCTTCATTAAAGCATTTAGATACAGGTGCTGATGAAAGGCCCTAGACATCTAGCCAGACTCTTACTTATCACCTCAAAGCTCTTCTCTACTTGGCACCACTCCACTTTTGAGGTTTATGCTTGGGATCGGGTAATACAGATATATGCATAAGACCCCTATGTTTCCCCATCCTTTAGAGCAGGTCTCCAAGAATTTATGGCACACACACTAGTTCTGATCTGCCACGTTCTAACAGTTGCTGTTACACATCTGGCTGTAAAAGAGGCTACACAGCACAGCTGAACACAAGGACACCAGTGCAGCCAGTACACTTTCCCTAACTCTGAAAAGCATTTAACTGCCACCATGGTCAAACAGCACTTCTATTAAAAAAAGCAGAACATTGCATTCAAGTCCCTTATTGTTATACTTCAGCCGAGTAGAGATTCCAAAGACTCCTGGTCTTGCCTAACCACGGCGTACGTTAATTAGGTACTACATTTCATAGCATTTCAGACTGATGGGTCAAGAATGCGCATGGTCAATGCATCCAACACGCCTGCAGAGAGATCAAGTTTTTCCACTTACCCAGAGCTCTGCTTTTATTGCAGCATTGGCTGAAGAACAGCTACTGTTTTGCAGCTTTATAATTGAAAGCTCTCATGCTACTCCGTAGTGGTGCTGCAGCGGTAACATTAGCTCACTGGGAGGACCATATTTAGAAAAGATGTTGGGTTGTCCCCCAGAGCAATGTAATAGTTTCGTTAAGTGAAATTAAGAGCCCCAGTAAGAGGCAAACATTGTCAGATTGAAAAAAACAGACCTCAACTCCTACAGGGAGAAGTCTGGGCTGAAGGCATCTAGTTTTACTGCAGGGATTCCTTTAATCCCTACTTGGAGCGTAAAAAAAAAAAAAAAATCCTAAAGGCATGGGCTGGACACAGGGGCAACATTAAATGCGAGAAGAGCAAATACAAAAGCCCAGCCTGCCAACCTCC